GGGCGCGGACTTTCAATTTTAAATTTTCGAATGAAAAAAAGCCGATAAAACAATCGGTGATCTCGGACTTTAATTTTTTTAGTCCAGTAATAACTGCTAAACTTGGCCAAATATTTTTTTGGACCGAAATAAAAGTCCTTTCCTAATAATAAACAAATCTCTTATCCAAATTAAACAAATTTCGTATAAAATTAAGGAGGACTAATAGAGATTTCAAACTGAAATATCTAATTTTCCCTATTGAAAGATATTCCAAATCAAAATGTTATCTAATTACCATCGAACAAACCTTGAGTTAAGTATGTATATGAATTTCTTTTGCATATAACTATAAAAGAGTATATAAATAAGTGGTAACCTTCGTTTGGATATTTCTGTTTGAAAGCTTTTATTTGCTGATGTAATGTGGAACGATTTTCCGTCATCCCTTGTCAAATTTGATTTGGAGACAAACCGGTTTCGGCGTTGCGCCATCTTCAGTGTCAGAGAACGAAAAATGTTGTTAATGTTCCTTTGATCCCAGGACCTTCTGGACAACAATCCTAGACTTAGAAAAAGGGCCAAGTTTGGCTAAAAAAGTAGAAAAGTTTGGAAAAAAAAGTAGAGTGAAGAAGGCGCGCATTGACCTTTTTCTGCAAGCGCATTTTTCGGAAGACTTGGGGTCTTAATCGAAAGATTTTATTCTGGACTAGCAAATACTCGGCGTGCTTCATTGCGCTTTACAGGTATTTTGTGTTGTTACCCCTTATAACTTCATTCATAAAGAATAAAATAGATTTGAAGAGCTTTGTGAAGTGATATTTTTTTCTGAAAAAGGTTGTGATTAATATATTTTTGAAGGTATTTCATTTTGGAAATTTAATTTATACTATTATAACTCGATTCTACATATCGTGCGCTTTCTTCAAAGGTGTATTAATTCAGTATTCTGCTTATCTCATCGATTTAACTAAATTAAATTTTACAAATATAACGGAAATCAACTTTCTTAAACTTCTTTAGTTTGATACCCGTATTGTAATATTTAATTCCTTTTCTCAATTTAATAATTGAATAAAGTTTTTCAAACAAGTGGCAAGCCTCCTCAAATATTTTTTTGGCAGTAAACTTTCCTAAACCTCTTTAGTTTGATATTGCACTGTTTAATTTATCTTATCATTTAAACCAAATTAAAATTTCCAAAACAGGTGGCAACCTTCCACAAAATCATTTTCGACCTTAAGCCTCTTAAAGCTTTTTCTTTTGACAGCAATATTGCAATATTTGCTTTATCTTACCAACTTAATTAAATTTCAATTTTCAAACCGGTAGTTAGTTTTTCCTATATTTTAAGTTATACGTTTAGAAATGTATCGGTGAAAACTGCATTCGATTCCATGCATTAGTTTTCTAGCGATGCGCGTACAAAAATACAGACAGACACACACAAATTCTAAAAATTTTTGATTTGGCCTCTGTTGCTATAATAAAGACCCCCCATATTTTATTTTGTTTAATATCAATAATGTACGGACATCCGTCTATTACAATTTTATTATACCTATTGTATGTACGCTACAGTTGTCCGTCCGATCTAAGTTACTGTATGGTGGATAGCCTTACAGAACTAGTAAAATCATGTAATGGTTTTACAGAGTTCATAGGGCGGCATGTATCGGGTAATGCGAACTTGTCCCAAGCACACGCTCAATATTATTAAAAACCTATTTTCTATAGATCTTCGTTTAATATATACTGTATCAGTGTCTGCAGTAATTATTTACGTCCACCACGCTACCGCCGGCTACCGATTGCATTCGATCTAAAATAGAATTCTGCAGAGATTTCGACGCCCTTGTCCCGTCGCGAACCGAGTGGTACGGGGTACTTTATGTATCGATGGCTCCAAAATGAAACGAAGAGTTAGACTAGGCATTTTCTCTGAACTCGTCGTAACTTTTACAACAAAATCGAAGCCTATTACGACTCTTTTAACCCTAGAACACACACCCGGGTACAAATGTATCCACTTTCAACTTTGAAGTGTTGTAACTTTTGAACCGCTATACCTCTATACCGCTAACTTCGGATCTAGGAAGATTATTTAGTTTTGAGTTCAAATTCAAAATTTGAACCAGATCGGACCATTGGTTCAGGAGCTACAGCCTTCCAAACACATTATATACGTAAACACACACCCGGGATACGTTTGTACCCCAATAGTAAAAATCCTCATAATAATAAAAAAAA